AAGAGTCCTGACAAATGGCCTAACTGAGCCCCACATTATATTTCTAGCTGGTTCATCGACTTGATCCAGTCAGTCATTCTTCCCCTTTCTAATGCCTCCGTTTCTGGCTGAAAAATAGACCAAAGGATGCCCATCTTTACTAAGGGCGCGGTGCTCCGGGTCTGAAAGGCATGGTATTGTGCTGAGAATCGCTGTCAAGAGGACCATACCTTAGAGGTGGCAGGGTGGCTCGATGACTTCTCACCATGACCAAGGTCCTTCCAGAGAACTGGGTTGCCAGTTGTCCAGTCACAGTGGTTTTGGAGTTGCTCGCATGAAATTCATCTGAATTAGAGAACAAGAAACCTTTAAAGAATAGAAGTAGATATAAATATTTCTCTAGAGATAACAGTTGCTTTGTCTTGTGCCTACTAATGGGTTGCACCTTCGAGAACAGCCTTTGCTCTTCCACATTTTGTGGCCAAACTGATCAAATGGGCAGCCCTTGTCTTTAGGAGGGGGTTAGCAATGCGGTCGAGGACCCTTGATATCTGGTGGTTTGGCAGCCAGGGGTTTCTACCCTGAAGTTAGACTGTACAATAACCCCAAGTTGGCAGAACCACCACCCTCTCCTTGGCTCCTGTGCCCTCCCTTCACCTTTAGGGCAAAGATAACTTCCCCATGCCTCTCTAGTGCTGAGCAGCCAATTTCCAAGGAACTCGGATGATTTCAGGAGCAGGCAGAGAGGACAGAGAGAGAGTGGGCACCATGGTCCCATCCCATGCAAGTGGTCTCCTTTCCCCATCTTTAACAATAAACAAGTCGAGTGGCAATATTATGCTGATGTTCTCTCCAATTGGTACCATTTAAAGCTGCCCAACATCCACCAAATACAGGAGTGCTTGGACCCAGACTTGTGCCCCAGGAGCCTCTTGAAAACAGAGGTAAGCAGACGCTCTTGGGCTGACCTTCAGCGTCCAAAGGAAGTGGAGAGCAGACAGGACTCTCCAAACCTCAGTAGGACCGGCTCAGGCTATATCCATGGGATCCAAAAAGACAACTATTTCTTAGGTGCATTGAAGGATTCAAGTTAGACTGGCCCTGGGAGTCTCTATATTCTGCTCATCCTACATCAGCCTTCTCTCTTTAGAGGCTTTTATGAACCATGGATGAAGAACAGTCCCAAGCAGGAAGAAAAATGGTCCCGAGAAGCTGCAAAGCCTGGGCTCTGCCTCCACCTCTGCCCCGATCTGCTGGGAGTGACAGTATTTCCCCTTAGTGAAATAGGCTGCATCAATCCCCCAGTTGGAGATCTGACCACAGACTCACACGTGCAACTCATTCTGAGCTCCGCGCATGGGAGATGCTAGAAGGCAGCAAAGACCTTATTTTCCCCCCACAAGGATAAAGTTGCTGACCTTCAAGCAAGCTTAATCATCATCTGTCTGAGGGACAGAGTGAAGGGAAAGGAGGGGAGTGAAGGATGGTGCTTCAGAGTCCCTCGGTGGTTGCCAGCAACCTACCAGCAGTTGTTTCCTTGACCAGCCCGTTGCACTGACGAGCCAAGGATTCGTCTGCCAAGAGAAGCCTCTGGGTGGCTCCATGCCCCGGTTCATCAGCGCCACTGTTTGTAGAAGAGATTTCACCAGGTGGAGCTGGGCCCACCACACCTCTCCCCAAGACTGATGAACAGCTGCTTAATTCTACTGACCCAGGGCCCCAACATCCTGACACAATTAAGCTTAATTGGCTGGTCCTTCCACTCTTACATCTCCCTCCCAGGAAGCCAGGGGATGGCTTCTTCAGCTTCTTATGGCAAACAGAGGCACCAAAAGCTTCCTTCCGAGACCTTGGATGCCCATTTGCTTCTTGGCTGTGCGTTTTGCATTGTGAAACACCACCCTTTAGGTCTCTTGCCCACCCATAGGCTTCAACAGGCGCCCTGCCTAGGTGACACCAAGATCCTGCCTTAGAGAACTGAACCAATCTGGGTTACCCCCCGCCAGGCCTGCCTCCGCATTAGACGATGCACTTGTATAGGATGGCTTGGCTAGGAAGGATCCAGCTTCAGGCAGGTGCTTGGACTGGAGGACCTCTGGAGGTCCCCTTCAGCCCGACTTCTCCGTGTCTGGCCAAAGCGATGGCTTCTGCGGGTAGCAGAGCGGAGTGAGCTGGAGGGAGGGGGAAGCCACTGTGCAATCACAGACATTCAGCTCCCTCTCTCCCCCCAGCTTCTTCTTCACCATCCCTTTTCATGTTCTCCCAGTCTCTTTCCCCAGACAAGCAGCTGTTCTCCCCCACTCCAGTTCCTCAGGCCCTAAGGGCAGGTCCTGTCCTCCCCAGTCTTTGCCCTGCGCTCTCAGCAGACTATTGAGGTCGCAGCTTTTCTGTTCGATGCCCCCAGGGTGTTCATCCATCCTCAGTGCCACCAACTTGGTGCCCTTAGGACCAGGATGAAGGAGTGCAAACGTGCTGGGGCAGAGCAGGGTCCGCGTGCTGCTGGCCGCGCCGTTCTTCACCCTCTTCCAGGCCACGGGCCTGGGGAGCAGCGGCAGCAGCAGCGGGAGAGCAAGTGAGACAGGGGCACAGAGCTGCTCTGCTCAGATCAAGGCTGATCAAAATGAATGGGCAGACAGGGATGGGGATCTGTCACCATGGAAACTTCAGCCTCATCAGGCTCCCCCCCGGCTAAAGCCACCTGGCTAGGGGGTAGCGATCAGCCAACCCATTTCAGGACTGGCAGCAGCCTAGGGCTACTGCTAGCTTTGGCTGCCTGCTGGTTTACCTCCCCCCCGATCCAACTGCTACGCGTCTGGATGGAAAGTCAGCCCTGTGGCATGTGGAAGTGGAGGACGAAACCCCAAGACAGACACACTGCTTAGTCACTCGCTGCATTGGCTCCATGGGCCTGGAGATCACCGCGCACTGCCCGACCAGGCCCCTCATCTCTCTCCTCCTGCCGAAACCCCCAAGTCAGGCCGCAGGCAGCAAGCAGCATAATGAGGCGCTGCAGGGAACCGTCCTACACCAGAGCCCACAACGCAGCCTTTCCTGCTGCTGACGACTGCAACTCTCAGCCTTTGCATCCTCCCCGCGAGGACCGATGGAGGCTCACAAGGGAGAGCGAGGATTGTTACTTTGCTCAGGCAGGGTCACCGACGAGGAAACCGAGGCTCAGGGCACTGAAGTGGTTCATCTCTCTCTCTTGCATTGAATATAACAAAATAGAAGAAGTCAGGAGTCCTCCTCCCAGTCTTCTTCCTCACTTGCCACCATCATTCATTATAGCAGCCAACAGAAGGCCGGCAGCTCCCAATCCTTTATTCTATTATTCAGTTATATGGCGGGAGACCCCAGGTCCCCATGTGGGATGGGAAGGGGAGGGGGAGTTGGGGATGCTGGCAGTGGTCGAGGTGAACCTGGTGGGGGGCATCTGTGGACTACGCCATTGTGGTTTGCAGCAAGAGAGATGAGCTGTCTGGCCGCACTTGATAGTCATCCCATGCCAAGGCCGCCCTCCCCTTGCTGGCAATTTCATGTTCTGGGATATTTTACAACTGAGACTGACCTCAGACTACCCGAGTGAGAGACTGAAGACTCATACCAGAGTAGAAGAAGGTCATTTGGGGAGAGGAAAAAAAAACTGGATCCAGCCTCCCAGTTACACAGCTGATGCAGAGCAAAGTCTTCTGACAAGCCACTGAATTATTGCATGCCTCGGTTTCCCCTGGTAACAGGATTTATCTGTCCAGTACCTCCGAGGAGGGAAGACCTTGGAGATCCTAAGATAAAAGCCAGCTACAAGATCTGCCAGCTGCAGCGAAAGACAGAAACACAACTTGTGCAATGCTTAAATGCTTTTTGCTGGAGAGGGTTTTTTCACTCAAGAGGGGCTGGGCTGTTTACTGAAGGAAGAGACCCATCTTCTCTCCTTGTTGGCCTTCAAGAAACATTTAAAGAAAAAAAATATAGTTCATTTGGAGCGTGTTGGAAGCATTATCTTGTGGGGAGCCCTGCCCTACATGTCCTTTGATTGACTGCTTCCTCCAAAAGCAGAAATCAAGGGCAAAACTCACCACTGTGCAGAGAGCCTGGCTGAGGCTGCAACCCCCACTTGGGCTTTGGCCCGGGGAGAAATTTGCCTTCAGAGCTTTAAAAGCCGCTTTGTTTGGCACAGGAATTGGTCTGGGTCAGGTTAGCAATGAGTAGCCTTCTGGCACGACCTGTGGTCAGCAGCCGAAGGGGACAGCCCTGGGCTCGGCACAGCTCAGTCTTCTGGTCTCAGGAAAAAAAATGGTATTTAAAGGTTTGCTTTTGGGGAACTGGCTGATAGGTATTTAGTTAGTAGTAGGAGTGTGACCAATTAGTTGGGATGAGTTAGCAGGGAGCGAGCATCAGGATTTTGGTCGTCTGCTCCTCACTGTAGCACTCCACGTGCCTCAGTGTCTGGGAAAGGAGGATGAATCCTCTTCTCCCACAGCACAGGGGACCAGTGGGGCTTAAGCCCTGTTAAAGATGATGGCATCCTCAGGGGAAAAGCATTACAGCTGCATTCAGACATTAAAGTTCCTCCTTAGGAGGGACAGCCATGCTCCCCACCAGTGCATGATGTGCAGGTGACTTAACACGGCAGCACAAAGCTGTGTTATCCTCTCTTTGCACCCAAGGCAAAATCATTTGGGCAACTACATCTCAACCCTACTTGGGTTTAAAAAAAAAATCTCTCTCACACGCACATAAATAAAATAAAAATCCCAGAAACTGAAAGACATCAGGCTTGAGTGGAAGGAAATGACCCTAATGCAATCGCTGTGATAATTCACTGCAGCGTGTGAGGCTGCTGTTACGCGTGTCAGCAGCAAAGGCTTCATTTGGGCAGGATAGCCCCCCCCGAGTAAGTTCCTTGACAGTCAGGAGCAGCCACTTAGCCTGATGAATGTGCCAGCCTGCCGAACTCCGCTGGGGCTGGGAATCTGCTCTCCTCCATAGTGCTCAGCTGTATTTTGTTGTCTCACGTGCAGCGGCTCCGAAGAGCAAACCAGGGCCGACAGCACACTCTGCTGGCAAGAAGCATGCCAAGAAGCCAGGTACTGCCCGCTGTAGCACTGTAGGAGCTGGTTGGTGTGGGGAGTTAGTCTACGGTACAGGGCATATCAGGGGGGTCTGCCTGGTACCAAGCAAAAGATCTCTCTGCGGTACTTGCTGGCTGCATTTCCTACCCCATTTGGCATAGCTGCCATCATCGAGAGTCCAAGACAAGAGTTGTGCATGCTTGCAAATGGTTACACCTGGATGGTCCAACACAATTAATTCCCTTACCAAGGGTAGAGCTAGGACACATCTATGAATAACTCCTCTCCTTCGTCAGTCATCTCCCTGCAGATCAACATATATTGATGCACTGAATTTTTCATGCACCCAGTTCTAGAGCGGGGCGGGGGGGGGGGGAGGGGGGAAACAAACAGGGGGGAAATGTAAAAAGCCACCAGCTGCCCCAGGAAGAAATGGAGTTCAGA